ATAAATTAGACTAATTTATATATCGTATTAATTAATATAAAACATTTTTAATTATTTGATTCTGGTTTTTTTGAATTTGTGCAATTAATTAATATGGAATATTAATTTCTTTTTAATTTTTGTATTTTTTTAATTATTTGTGTATGTATTTTCTCCTCCACCAACCATCCAACCATGGCCGTGATTTTGACCACCGTCAACGACCCTTTATCATTTGGGAAAAGACCCGACCATTTATTTTTGGGATTTCTTTTTAATTTAAAAATATTAAAATATATTTAATTTTCATTGGATATGTTTTTCAAGGTCAACATTAATGGACGATTATTATTATTATTTTTTATTTTTATTTTAAGAAAGAAATTCAACTATTATCAGTTAAGAATGATATAATTAATGATTTATTTTAATTTTAATAAAAATCATATTCCTTTTATAATTTTTCCAAAAATGGACTCTTTTGACTAATTAATTACTTTATAAATAGTCTTTTTTATTTATAAAAAAAGAAAATTACGTTTTTAGTCCTCATAATTTGTTGAAATTTTTTATTTTCATCCTTGTAGTTCTATAGTTACGATTTTTCTCCTTAAGATTTAGAATTCATTACTTTTTTCGTTTTAATGTTTTAGAATTTTTTTTTTTTTTGTCTTTATGGTTTACAATTCATTTTTATTTTGATTCGTCATACTTAAAAGTAGGGGTGCTCAAAAACCCGACCAACCCAACCCAACGCAACACGAAATAACTCAACCAGAAGCAAACTGATGTCTAATCGAGTTGTAAAATTGTCAAACCGTTGGTATTAGGTTGATATTGATTTACTATTATTTGAACACAACTCAACCCGATAAACCCGATATCCTTTTATTTCTTGGATTTAATATGATTGTTGAATTTATATTAATATGTATATTAGACAATTACATTATCATGTATGTTATTCATATACACATATTTTCAATATATTCACATTTTTATATAACTCATTCATATATATGTTCAATAATTGTGAACATATATATGTAATTGAAAAAATTAAATGAATGTGATATACGTAAGAAGTATGAATAAATTGTATCAAATGATTGATGATGAAAAAGAAAGTATGAGTAGAGAAATAACATATTCTAGGTTAGAAGAATATTTTAATGTACCAAAGTATCAACCCGACCAACCCGTACGGGTTGGGTTGGGTTAAAATTTTTCAAACCGCAAGCATTGGGTTGGATTGTTCAAATGTCTTCAACCCGATCAACCCAACCCATGAGCACCCCTACTTAAAAGTAGTGTTTTCGCCTTAGAAACAAAAATAAAAATAAATTACAAACTATGAGAATGAAAACCGAAATTTTTACCAAACCATAGAGACTAAAAACGTAATTTATTCTTTATAAAAAATATTAAACGAAATTATGTCTTTTTTTCCGAATTTTATAAATATATTTTATGATAATTAAAATCGTACATTAATTAAAATATATCAAAAAAAATATGTTATTTTTTTATAAATTAT